AATTTTTTAATTTATTGTATTTCCAACTAATGAATAAACAAATTTTTCATATAATTAACTGTACACAGATGCATAATAATTAAATATGCATAGAAAACAAAAAAAATTAATATAAGAGAAATAAATCCTGTTTATCCATTTTAATAGGTGAAAAAAGTATTCTTACAGTGCAAATTTCAGATTTTAAAACTTTAAAATTGCTTTAATACTATAGATTATTCAAGTGGAATATTCTAGAATGTTCCAATAATGTTATCTGTAGTTATTTGTAGACTAAAATATACAAACAGAACATTCTGTAATTGATATTCGTGCAAGAAGGTTTTCATCATAGCAAGAGTTAAAGAATTGATAAATTCACAAAAAGAACTGATTGTTAAGTTCTGGAAAGAAGGTAAAAGTTACAGAAAAATCTCAGACAACCTGAATATTTCATTTACTACCATTAGTTCATTCATTCATTGCAAGGTCTAAAAAACTCAAAACTGTTGAAAACCAAAGAAGAAATGGTGATTCATGGAAGATTTCTCCAAGATCTTTGAGGAAATTAATGTATCAAATTAAACATCAATGGTTACTTGTCAAGAGTTGCAGGATGATTTGCTTTCATCAGAAATCTGTTTCACTAAATGAACAATAAGCAATAAAATTTATAGGAACAATCTAAAGTCATGCTCCCCTCGAAAAACTCCTCTGCTATTGAAAAGACACGAAGATGCCAGGTTGAAATTCATTCATGAACATAAAGATAAGGAAAAAATTCATACTGGGAAAGAGTATTATGGACAGATGAAACCAAAGTGGTTTGGATGTAATTCTAGAAATCGTGTATGGAGGAAAGATGGTGATGCCTTCAAACAAAAGAAAAAAGTTCCAACAGTGAAATTTAGTGGTGACAGCGTTATGGTTTGAGGATGTTTTTCCACAAAAAGTACTGACAATATTTCGGTAATAGATGGTAGAACAAATGCTGCAGCATATCAAAATATTTTGGAAGCAAAGTTAATGATTTCATTTGAAAATCCTGAACTTCCTTCTGATTGTATCTTCCAAAAAGATAGTGATCCTAAGCACATTGCAAAATCTATGAAGAAATGGCTTGCTGAAAATAATGTAAATATCCTGAAATGGCCAAGTCAGTTCCCAAATTTAAACACAATTGAGAATCTGTAGCATTATTTGAAAATTCAAATCCAATCAAAAGCTCCAACAAACATCCCAGATCTGAAGATCATATGCAAAGAAGAATGAAACAAAATTAATATTTGTAAATCATTAATTGAGAACTATAAGAACAGGTTTGTTGTTCTACAAAGTATTAAATGCAAATTATGTATTCTTTTTTTGTATTGTACAAATACTTTTTCACCCATTAAAATGGATAAATTTGATTTATTTCTATTAAATCATTTTTTTCTGTTTTCAATGCATATTTAGTTATTATGCATCAGTGTACAGTTAATTATATAAAAAGTATGTTTAGTTAGAAATACAATAAATTATAAATTTGTTTGTATATGAATACTTGTTTCCCTCTACATACATATATAACATATATATATATATGAGTGCGTGTTTTATTTATATATCTGCAGGCTTAGTTGAAACCGTTTTTCTAGTTTTTAAGGAGAATTTTAGCATAAATTATCTAAACTCTTGGATATTATTGACTTTCATAAGATATTATTGAAGGACCATTGAAAAGTGTGTGTCTATAGATATACATTGTTTCAGTGCACAAAAATTGTATGTACCATTTTTCAATCATTACATTGTGCACACACGCGGACATTTGTGTAAACAATGTGAGCACAAAAATCAACACTACATAGTAGCTGGCCTTAAGTAATTAAGGCCAAAATTTTCACATCCACAACATTGCACAAACAATGCAAAAATATTGTTTTGACTGATTATTGGATTGTACATTGATATTGTAAATTTTCACAGGTCAAACTAATCAGGATCTATTTCTCAATACTTTATTAGAAATTGGGTAGGATAAATCTGGAGAAATTAGTTGTTTGTAGTCAGTTGGAGATCTTAGTGTATGGCTATGTATATGGCTGGTGGGGGAGATGCAGATGTATACAAAATGTATTGTCATTATCTATTGGCTATCCCTTTCTTGTAACCGTTTTTACCTTTGCATTTGCATATCACCTGTTTTAATAAAGGCCTTTGCTCTCTCATAAATCTTGCCTTCATTTTAATCGGGCAATAGCATCATTTTCGCAATTATCCTGATTCATTTTAAAATCTGTGAGTGACTTGTCCATTGAATCTTTAAAATGCTCTTTTGGTTTATTTTTCAACTCCATTTTGTCCATACAGTAGTTGTTTTGGTATGTGCTTATCATCCTCTCTGTTTAAATAACCTGTCTAATGTAGCCTGTGCTTTTATATATATATATATATATATATATATATATATATATATATATATATATATATATATATATATATATATATGTGTGTGTGTGGAGGAAAGATGTATGACAAAGTGGAAAAAATTTTTCCTGAGACTCATTTCGTCCCTTAGGTCTTCATCAGACAGGGTTTGTTTACGTTGATATGATTACGTATGCGCATGAATGATAGATGCTGGGAATTTCAATTTTTTTTTTGGTTTTTTGTGCTTTTTGGGTACATAACTAACCAATTTCAGTTAGATTCTTTTTGTTTCCATCATCTTTGTTATTAAATGTCTGAGATTGTGATAATAGATCTGCCAAGAATGATGAAACGTATAAAACCTGGACACAAATTTGCAAATCTAAGTGAAATTGGTTACATTATATTCCCAATATATATATATATATATATATATATATATATATATATAAGTTTCTAAGTGTTGATGATACCTTTGCATCCTTTTCATCATTTAGTGAGGTGAATAAATTTTTGGAACATTTAAATAACCTTCACCCTTCCTTACAATTTATAATACAAGTTGAAAATATGTTGCCTTTCTTGGATGTGTTAGTTGAGAAAACTTCAATAGCATTCATCACCAGCAGCAGCATATACAGAAAACCCATTTTTTGAGGGTTATATCCTAGTTGGTATTCTTTTGCTCCCCCCCCCCAAGTCTACGAAGATTAATCTTATCAAAACACTTACCCACCATGCATTTTTTATATGTTCAGAATGTAAATTGGATGCTGAACTCAGGCCAATTACTAACATTTTCCTTTCAAATGGCTACCCTGAAAGTGTTATTCTGAGTAGCATTAGATTTAAAATTTCTAAGTTTAATGAAATTAAAACATTTAGTCCTCTTAAATGTCCTGTATATTTCAAATTACTATGCAATGGACCATGTAACCAATCTTTTGCAATAGGGTCTCATTATCTATAATGCACTGTTTTAATCCTGTCTTAGTATATGTCATCTTTTCTATCAGAAGTGTGTTCACTTCTAGTTGTAAAGATATTTTGCCTATCCTTCAACAAAATTTGGTTATTTATCAACTATAGATGTCAGTGTGAACATCTATTAAATACCTGAAGGAACAACTATTCAGAAGTGTTCTTCTCTGTTCTGCATAGGCCTTGGAAAAAATACCATCTGAATATTCTAGAGGCTGTAATGATCAACACAGCATCTGGCTTTGTGCAGACAGAGAAAACTTAAACATAAATTGGAGATATATGGGGAATTATTGACTCATTCTAGATAATCCCCTCCTTTTTTTTTCTCTCCTCTTGTCTTCTTAAAATCTGCTTTGAGAAACCATTTCTTCATTAATTTAATTTTTGATGATTTATTTACTTCTGATGAAGTGTCAGATGAAAGGCACCTTAAGTTTATTTTATTTTAATTGAGATTACATTTATAGTAATTGATATTAAACTATCATCCCTATTTTACAAGTAGTCCTATTTTTGTGCGGTATGCAAAATCTTTTTGCTTATTTACAGGATATATATAATAAGCAAAAACTGTATGTCATACTTTTTATTGAATGTTGGTACATGTTTCAGGACTTCTTTTATCAGCCAAAAAATTAAATTTTAGGTTCAAACATGGTTCGATATGACAGTCTTGAGGATATGAATATAAATTTGTAGAATTACAACAGCTGTGTATGTTGCACTAAACCTATCCTCATCTTTGTTCTATTTCTTCTATTTCTAAATTTTTAATTATTGTCAATAACATGTCCATATAACATGGCACTTGAACTTGAAAATTAAATCATTGCAAATTTTGGGCTGATGAAGGGAATAGAAATCCTGAAACACATACAAATATTCACTAAAAGAAGTATCAATTTTAATCTGACATTGAGGTTTCTTGGTAAAATTTCCAGTCTTTTTCCAAGGAAAAAAATTGGAAATACCTTTTTAAAACCACAACCCCCTGAAGACTGGAAATTTTACCAAGAAACATGTACGTTGGGATAAAATTGATATTTAAAACTTAAGTAATCTTTTCATATAATATCATTAATGTCCTGTTTTTAATCTTATTTTAATATTTTAATATATTTATATATATATATATATATATATATATATATATATATATATATATATATATATAAAAATATCTGCTGTTTCTTAAATGTTGTATATACAAATATAAAATTTGTCTCTTAGCTAATTGCCCCTCTACTCCAGAGTTTTGTAGACAAACCTTTATATAATCATTTAGTTTACTTGTCAGGAGGTACCAGCAATTGTATAAATAGGATTCTCTCAATACTTAGGTGATTTTTATGTTACTTCTATTGAGGAGGGCAGTAATTTTTAATAATGTATGTAATAAAATTGATTCTAGACTTGATTTACTGAATTATTTCTAAAAATTTTGTCTGCGTTCTCTTCATGCTTCCTGACATTTTGCTTGGGCTTCATTTCCTCACTGACAATTTCCCTTTTTTTTTTCTTTTTTTTTTTTTTTTTTTTTTATTGCTTGTCAAGATTTTATCCCAGTTTTTTTTTTTCTTCCTCTTCTCTTTTGTTGCATCTGTGATGTTTATCTCTTTCAGACCATCTTCGCCTGGGCCTAGCAGACCTCGAGGACCACCCATGCCTCCTACCAGGCCAGTTGCGAACCCGTCTATCCCGAGTAGACCAGCTCCCAAAGTCCCATCAAGACCAGCACCGGATGCCCCACAAGCTGCCATGCACATGTCCGCTCAGCCCCTGTAAGTAAATCAAAATGTGGTTCACAGCAAGTGTTTTGTTTTTTTCTTGATAATATTGGAACCATTGTCCTGGCAAGAAAAAAAGAAGACAGAATGCATGGTTGTCAGCAAAAGGATATTAAAATCAAGCAGGTATGGAAATATAAATATCTGGGAAATATTCTAACATAGGATGGAAAGTCTGACTCTGACATCCGAAGATGTATTGGGGTGGCCAAAGATGCCTCTCAAAAGCTAAGCAGAGACAACAAAATTTCATTAGAAAGAAAGAAAAGAGTACTGAACTGTTATGTGATATGTCCTCCTGTATGGTAGTTAATGCTGAACAATATCCTCAAAGATGAAGAGGAGACTTGAAGCAACAGAAATGTGGTTCTACAGAAATATGCTGAGGATACCATGGAACATGTAAGCAACAATATTTTAGAGAAAATAGAAACCAAAAAGAGACTTAACATTAGGAAGAGACAGTTGAGATTTCTGGGGCATATAATGAGGAAGGAGGGTTTGGAAAACCTGATACACATAGGACAGATTGAGGGACAGAGGAAAGCAGCACATAACAGGGTTTGGGAGAAATAACAAAGTCAAAATTTATTAAGAGCTACAAGGGGCAAGAAGATGTGGAAGGCCATAATCACCTACGTCCTGAAGGGACACAGCACATAAAAGATACAAAAATCAGTTTTGTTATTTCACATTTATTTTTGTTCTATATTTATTCCTCCACAGATATTCATATTTTGCCTTATGGCCAAATCATGTTGAAAGCAACAGTTCTTGTTCAATCACCAAAGTTAAGCAGTGTTGAGCCTGATCAGTACTTAGATGGGGGACCACTTGAGAACATCACATACTGTAAGTGACCTCTTAGAAAAAGAGTGAGTAATAGCTGGACCATATATAGCTAGAGTCCACATATTGGGCCATAGTGCCATCAGACAACCTATTAATAAGCAGTATAAAGATCATAGTCACATTAGACAGCTACTCACAAACACTATCAAAATACTTATAATCCTTGAAGCGATAGTCATACAACAAAATCAACCATCAATAAATAAAAGCAATTATAACTTAAGAGCTTGCATTCTCAAATGTATATAAAAAAAAAAAATACATCACACATCGCATACATCACAACACTCTTTGCCTACATCACAATAAGCTAGTGCTTTATGAAACTCACCAATTGTCTCTACCTACCCTGAAGTTAAAAAAAAATATGCTTGAATCGTATTTCTTGTATTTTTCTTCCAAAAAAACAGACAATTTCTGATGGAATTTCCTCATGTCACCTTATTTTTTTAATATGTCCTGTTAACTTTCAGCCGTAGAATGCAAAAGCAAAATGTGAGTAAATTAAAAATCAAGAAAAATTAAAGGTGACAATAGTCTGAACATTTGACATTTGTTAATGACAACCAAGTCAATAATTTGAGTCTCTGCTGGTTTTTTTTTTTTTTATTCAAAATTTAATGATGAGGGCCTATAGGGAGTGTGCAGGTAGTGTAACTGATATCAATATAGAATTAGCAAGCAGAGTTTGAATTCAAAGCTAACCTGATGCATTCACTTTCACACAAATGCCCTTTGGGAAATATTTAAATCCATTTCTTCTCTCCCCATCTATATGTTAAATAGCAGTGCTCTGGATGAAGAGGGCTATGCATTATGGACATGCTACAGAAGTCGGCACTCAAAATTATAACAGGTGGCAGTTTGTTGCAGTTTCATAACTGGATTCTGCCTGTCACATTCCATATGTGCTGACGAGAAAAGGTCATAAAATCAAATGTGTGGGTCATTTTGTGGCAAGTTAAGGTCCACCTTAAAGAAATTAATGCCATTGATACTTTCTTCTACTCTGATTTTCTTTCACATTCAACTAACTCTTGTAAAGCCAAACACCAATAGGGAATGGCTAACAGGAGCAGATTTTGGTGAAACTGGAATCTTCTAGTCCTGAACCTGCACATTGATGGCAAATATAGTCATCAACACAATCATCATAAAGCAAACAATCAGCAAAGAAGAAATTAAATTCTTGGATACAAGATAAAGCTGTCAATGACAGGTGTGAGTACGCAATATAGTTGAGTTGAAATTAAGTAGTTGGCTTGCCTGGGGACTAAGAAGTCTCCCAAGAGTGAAAGACGAGACTCGTATTCTACCTACCATATTCTGTGGTTAAAGAGAACAAAAAAGTGAAAGTGTTTATGTCCTTTTCTTTAATATTGCTTATTTCTATGCAATTTAGTGGGTGCTAAGCAAAGCAACTTGTAGACAAAGTATCTGTAATCCTGGAATCACAGAGCAATTCTTTTTGTCATTGATTTTTCACTTGTTTTGAATAAATCTATTTTTTTCTTTCTTTTTCTTTCCAGACGCCCCATCCCAAGTATTCCACCCAGGATTCCTGACCGTCCGTCCGTACCCCAGCGCCCAACGTGAAGAGGTTACGCAGACTGACCCCATGATGTGTAGTGTCCACACACAGCACCTACTACTAGATAGGAGAGATAGTCATCTTCATCACCACCACCGCCAACGACAACACCATCGTCATCTTCTTCGTCTTCATTGTCATCATCTGTCTTTTCATTGTTTTCTTTCCCATCATCCCCCACCACCATCATCATCATCATCAACAGCAACATCAGTGGTGCCAATTGTTATCACTTGATGTGGGTAATGATGATTATAGTAACCATAGCAACAACAACAGTGATGATGACAAAAATATGTGGGAAGTGGGGGCAGTTGGGATTGAGAGAGGGAAGAAATCTGGACACATGTCATGAAAGCAACTAGAATAATAATAATTTCTGCGACAAAGGAAAGAATGGCCAAATCCATCCACATTGGTGCCCCCCATGTCAATAGTATAAAAATACAGATGACATGACAATAATGTAATTTTTATTACTTTCAATCAATTTGCTAACAAAACACCAAGTACCCTTACACACAAATGCACACACACACACACACACACAGGTTTGAAATAGATTCTTATAAATAGATAGATAGCAGAATATGTTAGGGGTGGGGGAAGATATCTTTAATAATGTTTCCTGAAAATATGAATTTTCTGAGAAAAATATTTTTCTTTTTGTGATCACAATAGCAATAAAAACATGTATTTCTTTTTTTTTATTTTAGATATTTAAAAAACATATGGTGTTTGGATTTCTTGGTCAAAGATGGGTGATATTCTTATGTAGTCTCAAAAAATAATAAGTGTATTTGATAAGATTTCAGATTCTCTCTCTCTCTCATATATATATATATATATATATATATATATATAAAATGCATATCAGTGGGCACTGTGTTTTGGTAGCCTCAGAAGAAAGTTGATAGTTATAATTTTTTTTCTTGATAATATATCTGGGATATCTTTAAAACAAATGGTGTGTGTGTGTGTGTGTGTAAGATGCTCTAGTTTCTTCAGGGCTTTACTTCTGAAGATGTAATATAATAGTTATCTTGATTAATAGTTGAAATGCTTGTCGTAAAAGTTCTTGTAATAAATGGGACTTTAACGATTGTATGTGGAAGCAGAGAAAATAGCTAAAATGTAGAAAAATGACTTGTGGACAAGAAATTGTGTAAATAATAATTGTATTGATAATAATAATGATGATAATAATAATAATAATATTGTAATGATAACAATAAGATTTGTGATCCAAAAATGTTTAATCTAGAAAAATAAGTGCTGGGTGATGAAAATAAAGGGAAACAGATAACACTACACCCCCTCTTTTCACATTGGTGTTTTTATTGAGAAAAGCCTTGGGTAAAAAGTAGTTAGCCTAAAAACAAATTTTTTTAGATTTTTTTTTTTTTTTTTTGTAATAACTTTATATATTCTACTGTCATGTCTTTGAATAAATTGTGATGAGAAAATATTTAAAAAAAATAACTATCCCCCCAAAAAAGACAAAAAAATAATCTAGTTTATTGGTTTAAAAAAAAACAAAAAAAACTGTAGTTGTCATGATACGATTTGAAAGAAAGACTCAATTCACTTGTTTATAAATTTACCCACGAATGGATTATACATATTTTTTTTTCTCCTGTTTTCTCTTCCCACAATTTGGGGACCACAAACTTATATCAGCAATAATCATAGTGACTTGAGTGTTATTTGCGGCTTAAAAGCCAAATTTTTACTCTACTTGTTGTAATATTAGCAAACATGAAAGTAAGTATACATGTTTGCTGAATTTATAATGCTAGTGTGTGTGTGTGTGTGTGTGTGTGTGTCGATAGTCTTGGTGCATTTCTATTAGGCAGCCAAAGGCATTGCACACATGTCAGGACCTGTGGTGGTGTTGTTCAATTGGCTATAGAAGTCTATGTATGTAGATTTGTGCTCTATCTCTAGTGATAACAGCAAATCAGTTCCGGTGGTGTTAACGGCTTTGGCAATAAGCAACAATGATTTTGTGTGTTTTACTCTCCCATTCCCCACCAAAAAAAAAGAAAAACAAAAATGGAAAAAAGAAAATTAAAAAAAAAAAAAAAAGCCTTGATTTGTTTCCAGCAATTTTTATTTAAAAGAAAAAGAAAAAAAAAATGTATCTGTGTCTGGGTGAATAAGTTGCTTCTGAGGAGAAAAAACATTCCTTTGTTTTTCTTTCACCCTTCATCTCCCAAACAATGGTTTGAAAGATTTAACAAAAAAAATTCTTTGTAGGCTGTTTATACTACAGTGTTTGGACTGCAGAGTGCAGCTGTCAAGTATTTTAGAAGCATATTGGCTGAGTTATGTTGATACATGGCAATCTTATAAATTATTATTAATGTAATTTTTCCATTATTTTTATTTTTTCTTTGCTGGATTAGAGGCAAAAAAAAAAAAACCTTTGACAAATTTGAGGACATAGTAAAGAAACAAAAATGGAATTAAGAATGGCAATATGTGTGTTAAGGGGCAGGGACACAGACCTGGAGGTCCTAATTAAAACATTGTTTGCCTTGATTATTATTATTATTATTATTATTATTATTATTATTATTATTATTATTAATCAATTGTTATTATGGAAGGTAATTTTTGTATTTCATCCTGAGAAATTGGTAGCTAGTCTTCGGTGAAAAGTATGTTGGATAAAACAATAAAGAAAAACTGATAGATTAATTATTAATAAATAAATAATTAATATTGTGCAAAAAATGTGGTTTTGTTTAATGAATTAAAAAAAAAAAAAAAACACCCCAGTCTTTAAAAAAAGTTTTTGATTGTTATTGATAGAAAATATTGTGGATTGCAAGGCTACTTTATCAATGTGTCTATAAATCAAGTCAAATTGTGTGAGTGCAATTGTACAGGCTGTTATTTTTGTATGTGGAGGTCTCTTTTTTTTTCTTTTTCTTTTTTCTTCTTTTATTTTCATGCCTCAGTAATTTCTGTACTCTATATCTGTATACATACCCTCCCCCACATATATTTATTTTTTTTTGTTTTTTTTTTCACAATCCTATTTCAGAATATATTCCCCATTTTAAAATATTTTTTCTGTAAGTTGTCAGTGGACTTAGGAAAAGTTGGTAAAGAAAAAAACAAAACAACCAATACAAATTTTTCTGTTTTTTTATTTCTTTATTTTTAACAGTTAAAATAAATAAAATCATGTTGAGTATGTATATATATATATATATATATATATATATATATATGGTGTGCTTTAGACTGCTTGGCCACAGAAAGGATCACAACCCAGCAAGGTTGTATTTAGCCTTTTAATGAATGCATGTCATCTTGTTCAGATTTTCTCGAGAGCACATATCTGCTTGATTTCATATCTGAAAAATATAGTTATTTCTAAAGAAGGTATTTCTTTCTGATTTTATATTCTTATTACTTCAGATGTTATTTTTAGTAGATACATTGGATTAAAAATAAATCCATTAATTCTTTATGAAGTGCATTGTTTATGTTTCTGACACAAAATCGAGCAGGTATGGACTTACGTGAAAATCTGAACCATTCATTAAAAGGGCAAATAGAACCTTGATGGGCTGTGATGCTCTCTGTGGCTCAGCAGTCTAAAGCACACTAAATTAGACTCTAGTTTCTCCTACAAAGGAGATCACAGGTTAGAACTCTACCAGAGAGCATATTTTCTTTAAGTTTTCTCAAGTGCACAGGCTGGTAGGCATTAATACACACTGTTAAAAGAAATAGGGTGTCTATTTCAAACACGGGTATCCACTAAAAATAATGTTTGAAGTAATAAAAATCTGATATTAAAAATAAATCCATTAATTCTTTAGAAATTGTTTTGTTTACATTTCGGGTCAAAAATCAAGCAGATATGGGCTTTTGAAAAAATCTGAACAAGATAATGTGCATTCCTTAAAAGGGTAAATTGAACTTTGCTGAGTGTTTTATATGTGTATATATATATATATATATATATATATATATATATATATATGAGAGAGAGAGCTTGGTGCTATACAAAAGTTCTGGAAATATGACACAAAATGGTTTCTTTAAAAATAGAAAAAGAAAATGACAAAATGTTTATTTGTTTCCTAGTGAAGTGGTTTCAATAGATGTATGAAATGTCAGGAGAAACCTGAGAAACTTGACAAATGAACACGCCCAATCTATTCAAAATTTTTCAATAGCACTTGTATTTCTGTATGTGTAATATATATATATATATATATATATATATATATATATATATATATATATATATATGCGTCTGTGATGGTTAACTTCTAAAGAATATATCAAATAAAAACAAAATGTGGTAACAATTTTTTTTCTGCATATGCAATACATATCCACACTCATTTAGGTATACACTTATGTATAGTCCTTTGTACATATGGATATGCATTCATGCACATGTGTATATCTGACTAAAAAGATGTTACAGTCCAAGCAGTACATTATTTATGCACGCATTTTGTATGTATGTATATGAGTGTGTTTAATAAATATATAATACATACACATAGAAAGAGGTATTGAAAATTTTTTTAGGTCAACCAAGAATGAAATGTAACACTATTCTGCACATTTACCTGCTGTTCAACATATTGTGCATATTATTTGTAAAGTGTCTTTTAACATTTCAAACAAATGTTTGATCACTGAAAGTGTTTTCAGCTAAGTGAATTGGCCTGAGAACTTTTCAGAATCTCTTTTTGTGTTTGTGTGTGTGTGTGTATATATATATATATATATATATATATATATATATATATATATATATATATAATGTGTTGCAGTTATTGCCATGGTGTCAGCAGCCAGAGTAAAAATTATGGGTTGAGGTCATTGCATTCACTTTCACACAAATACTGTTGGAAAAGGCATTAATTGGTTTCTTCTCTCTCACCCCATCCCACCCCAGCTATAGGTTAATAGCAAGGTAGAATGGGCTCTCTAGCCTTGGCTGGCAACCAATCTAGGAGAAAGAAAA